TTGCTGAGGGTGCACTCGATCCCACTGTCTACGACATTGATGAAGATATTAAACAGTACCGGTCCCAATACGGACCCCTGCGGAATCCACTCGTCACCAATCTCCATCTGGACATTGAGCCATTGACCACTAGCCTCTGGATGTGACCATCTAACCAATTCCTCACCCACCGGACAGTCCACCCATCAAATCCATACCTCTCCGGTTTAGAGAGAAGGATGTTGTGGGGGACCGTGTCAAAGGCCTTACAGAGGTCCAGATAGACGACATCTGTAGCCCTTCCCGTGTCCACTGATGTAGTCACTCCATCATAGAAGGCCACTAGGTTGGTCAGGCAGGACTTGCCCTTGGTGAAGCCATGCTGGTTGTCTCGAATCACCTTCCTGTCCTCCACGTGCCTTAGCAGAGCTTCCAGGAGGATCTGTTCTGTGATCTTCCCAGGCACAGAGGTGAGACTGACTGGCCTGTAGTTCCCTGGATCTTCCTTTTTCCCCTTTTTAAAAACCCTTTTCCAGTCAGTGGGAACTGATGTACAGTATCTGATAATATAATAACTGATCTACAGTGATGTAGAATAGAGAAATACAGGCCTGGTAAAACAGCTGAGGTCTTGAGAAGTAGAGACACAGGATTTGGCATAGAGGAGAACAGACATGGGATGATAAGAGATGGAGCACTGGCTTTGTGCTGGAGACCCCATGGCTATAAACAACTAACGATTAGTTAAAAAAACCTAATGATTAGTTAAAAAAATGCAGACCCAGAGCTGGACAAAACTGGTTTTGAGGGTAACAAACGTATCTAAGATGTGTACAGGGCACCATATAGAGTAATTCAAATGTAAATGTAAAAAGAAAGAGAAAGGTATAAATTTATGTTAGCAAACATATATACATGAGCCTAAGTGGAAGGACAGAGAAGGGAAAAAAAAAAAAAGAAAGAATGAAGAAACCATTAACAAGAACACCACATTCCTCCCAGTGAAGGAGTCCAGATGCTGACAACTTGCCATGACACCCCCCCTCCGCAAACATCAGAGTGAACCACAGATCTTAATATCCAGAGGAGCAGCAGTCAGGTGAGTGCAACACCAGAAAAGGCATAGAAACTAAGTGTGTGTGTTGCAATTTTAATTGTATTATTGCTATTAGTGCAACTTTTTTCCTGTATATAAGTACTCGACCTACATTATTTTTCTTTGCTTTTCTGTAATTAGACCTAGACTAATGATGACTCTTGAACTAGACTGTTAAAATTTCTATTATACTAACAATAAGTTCTTGGCTTTACATATATATGTAAAATGGTTTGGCTGATACTCTAGAGGGAAGGGATGCCATCCAGAGGGACCTTGACAGGCTAGAGAGGTGGGCCCGTACGAACCTCATGAAGTTCAGCAATGCCAAGTGCAAGGTCCTACACCTGGATTGGGGCAATCCCAAACATAGATACAGGCTGGGTGATGAGTGGATCGAGAGCAGCCCTGCAGAGAAGGACTTGGGGGTATTGATGGATGAAAAACTGAATATGGGCTGGCAATGTGCACTCACAGCCCAGAAAGCCAACCGTATCCTGGGCTGCATCAAAAGAAGCATGGCCAGCAGGTCGAGGGCAGCTCTGGAGCCCTCAGCATAAGAAAGACACGGACCTGTTGGAGCGGGTCCAGAGGAGGGCCACGAAAATGATCAGGGGGCTGGAACACCTCCCCTATGAGGACAGGCTGAGAGAGTTGGGGTTGTTCAGCCTGGAGAAGTCCAGGGAGACCTTATAGCAGCCTTCCAGTACTTCAAGGGGGCCTACAGGAAAGATGGGGAGGGACTCTGTATTAGGGAGTGTAGTGATAGGATGAGGGGTAACAGTTTTAAACTGAAAGAGGGTAGATTTAGATTAGATATTAGGAAGAAATTCTTCACTGTGAGGGTGGTGAGACACTGGAACAGGCTGCCCAGAGAAGTTGTGAATGCCCCTTCCCTGGAAGTGTTCAAAGTCAGTTTGGATGGGGCTTCGAGCAACCTGATCTAGTGGAAGGTATCCCTGCCCATGGTGGGGGTTGGGGGGGTGGAACTAGATGATCTTTAAGGTCTCTTCCAACCCAAACCATTCTATGATCTATGATCTATGATTCTGTATATAAGGCATACTTCCTCTTTCTCCATGAACAAGATTTTGAAATGTAACACTGAGTTCTTAGTTTAAGAATGTTTAGTAATGGTGTCTAACAGAGATAGAAATCCTCCATCTCCTTTACCTACTGTCCTTCTTAAATGGATTGATGGTGATAATTTTCAAGGCTCAGTTACGCTAGTATCTCACTACATTTCAGTAACACAAACAATTTTTTAATGGTCTTAATAATGTTTATCTGCAGCTTCAGTGTAAGTAGCTGAAACATATTTATACATAGTCTTGTTGCATTGATTTAATATGCTCTTGAGAAAGTGAATTTGAGGTGGTACTACTTACAGCGTTATATGATGCTGGCCACAAAAGATAAGTACATGGACTGTTTAGCACTGTTCATTGTTTCAGGATCTAGAATTACTTCTCTTTGTTTTATTATAAAATGTTTATGGGTTTGGATTTTTATTTTTTTAAATTACGCTACAAAAATAAGCTATTACTGTATTTTAACAGATACAGGTTTGTGAGGATAAAACGTTGGAATGACAACCATTCCTAAGTAAAGGTGGTGATTACCTCTGATTCATCTGTGCTATTGTTAGGAGTTGTCAGATCTGGTGGCCTGATAGAGGCGAGGCTGCTACAGCTCCATGCCCCCACGTTCAACCAGTTGCAAAGCTGAGAATGTATTCTTAGTAGGCACACACACAAACACATGTATACAACACATATATACATATGCACCCAGCCAGCAACACAAACAGAAGCACCCAGCACTCACACAAACACAAACAGCACCGATGGCTGCATTCTGTCCCACTCTCTGGCTGATCAGGATGAAAATCCATCAGTGGGAAATAGACACATATACACAATGCACATCGCTCCAGTATCTGGGCTTAGAAACTCGGTCTACCCAGTAGCTGGCTCTGGATGCCCGGTCTCCCCAGCTGCTGGCACCTGGACATGCCAGACCCCCAAGGCCCACAGACCCACTACAGTTGCTGGTACAGATCCCCTTGCACACACCAACATACACACAGACATGTATGCTGTGGGTCCCTCCAGTAACTGTGATGAGACTCTCAGGATCCTTGCTTTCTCCAGCTGTCTGCCTCCTTCACAGAGAGACACACACAGACAAGTGGGTCTCCCTCAACCCCACACCTCAGTCTCTCCAGCAGTTGGGCTGGACCCCTGGTCCTTTCGATAGTCAACTCCTCCAGTTGTCTCACTAACAGAGACATACACACACCTGGTTCCCAAACCACTTAACCTATTTGCTGGCTAGTCTGGCTTGATATTCACTAGTGATCATATACTGACATACATACTCTCACTTGCTCCAGTTGCTAGCACCCAAGACATATGGGACCCTGTGATCCATGGTGTGACACCAGTTGCTGGCACTTAGATCCTCACTGATTCCAGTTGCTGGCACCAAATACATGCAGGCTCCTGTGACCCATGGTCCCCACTCCAGTTGTGGGCACTTAAATCCCCATGTACACACATGCATACAGAACAGAGCTGCACAGCCAGAAAAAGAGTTAGAAATGTTAGAAGACAGGAAAGACTGTGCTGATCAGGCACAGGGCATGGCTAGACACTCATACTGACCAGCAACCATTTTACATGCAACCAGCCCCTTGTATCCCCTTTCCCTCCATTTTCCCATGCTTGTTCATCCCCAAACCACCTAGACCCATCCCTTTCTCCACCTTTGGTTCCTCCCCGAAACATCCCATTATAAGTCTTGTGCAATCCCCAAATGCTCTTCCCCTGCACCCCACAATGTTTTCGATACCACTAGGCAGTAACCCCACTCAGTCTGTAAGGTACTCTGACAACCTTTCCCATTGACTCATTGTGATAGGTGTCACCTCCAGGCCCATGGGGCTGATGGCTCCCCTATGACAGCCTTAGAAGAAGTTGGGACAGGGGCTTCATTTCTCTTACTGGGTTATTTGGGTTCCCCAGCCTGTGGTTGCCTCTTTTTGCTCCTTCCTGCTTGTGCAGATGAGCCTTTTATGGGTTGATTGCACTTCTGTGGTGGTTCTGGGATTAGCCAGGTCAGGGGATTATTTGGGTTCGCCGACCTGCCATTGTTCCTCTGTGTCCCTTTGTGTGTGTGGAGACGAGCTTTTTCCCACATAGCCTAACATTTATGATGGGCTACTTCTGTAACACTTTCTGGTCTTATACACCAAGTTATCCAACATTTCTATTTGAGAAAACAGACTCTCAAATCCAGTTAGAGGAGCAGATCTTTACTTCACCTCAAATCCCACATTTTGTAGCCTTTTCGTCTTATCTTCATGTATAATTATATCAAGGTTAAAAATAGGGTAGTGTACCAAACCAGTATAGCTCCTGATGCCAGTGTCTGATTAACCTTCTCACCCTTTCTGATTTGGCTCCTGAAATAGCAGTGATTTGCTAGATTATCTTGCACCTCCTTTCCATTCTAAGACGACTGTTTGTATCATTGAAACTTTCAGGTTTGTAAATCAGCCTTTAAGCAGATTAACATTTATAATTGGCTTGTGGAAAATTAGATCCCTCACTTAACTGACACTGATGTCAAACATGGACAGGAGCAGATGGGCAGTGCTGTAAGAGCAACAGGAGGAAGAGGATCATTCCTGTAGCATCATTCTTCTGACCACGCATACACATGGGGAACAATAGCAGCTCCGCAGTGGATGATCTGCAGGCTGTTGAGATCCACCACTGGTACAAAAAGTTCATGATGGAGTGTCCTTCTGGACAGCTGACAGAGCATGAATTTAAGCAGTTCTTTGGGCTTCGAGGGCTGGATCCAGAGGCCAATGAGTACATTGAGCAGATGTTCCGCACGTTTGATATGAACAAGGTAAGTTTTCCGGCAAGGAAATTAACTGCTTCGTACTGCTTAAAAGCGAACCAACTCCTGCACTTTTAGAGTCCTTGTTTTCTCCTACAAACATTGGTGTGGAAAGCTGCTGAGGGACATTAACGTAAAGTAGCTAAATGCAAGGAGAAAATTAATGTGCATAGATAATGACATAGATAACATAACCATAGGTAATAACACCTTATTACCTACCTACCTTGTGCAAGTTCATCTTTGAATTTTGAAAATTCCTTATTGTGTATTAATTGACTTGGCCTTGTTTGACTAGCAAAATACTAATGAAAGGAGATTTCATTCTTATTTTTATTCTTATATATTCTTATTCTTATTATTCAAAAATATATCTGTGTTAGATAGTAGAGACTAAAGGAATCAAGCACAATAGAAATTATTATAACATTCACAGAGGAAGTATTTTCCATGTATTTGGCAGCTGAAATTAATACTGCATACAGCAGTAGCTAAGAGGTAGATAGTATTCCTCACTTTGACAGGTGTCTCTAAGGTAAGAAACAGTAGCCCCCATAATTCCTTTAAACATGCAATGCCCCTCACTTCTGCCTGTTTTTTACCCATATATACTTAAGACTATGCTTGCAGGCCTGTAATCTCAATGACAGAGAAATTTGGTTTTATGGCAGCCTGGGAAAATTCAGCTTTGCCCTCTGGTCCAAGGTTCTGAAATGGCTGGAGCAAATGTCTGTGAGTCAAGGAGGAAGTAGTCACAGAGACATGTGAAACAGGTGGAAAATCACAGGGTCAATTTTGATGAATGAAAGCCTAGGGACTGAGCAAAGAGCATTGGTTTGGACAACATGTGAGAAGGCATAAGGAGTTAAGGAATGCTAAGGAATATTACAAAATTCTTAAATGTAAGAGAGGAGCAGCCAGGCTCCATTAGGGTAGCTGAAGTCTTGTGATGGATATAATGACTGGAAATGACTGCAAATCTCAAAGAATAACCTTTCTCATCCTAAAGTTCTCTGTGCCCAGGATGATGATAGTGATGAGAAGCAGTTTTATAAACTAAACCAACACATTTACAGTTCTTGCACAAGTCTTTCCCTTTACCTCTCTAATTTCTTGGGATGTTTAAGGACTTTAAAATTTGTTCAAGGATGTTACGCATTCCAAAGTTCTCCTGTGAGCCCCATGTTATGCAGTAAACAATGTTTTAAGAAGACTCTCAAATTCAAATTTGGTGATACAAAGATAAAAAGCTATCTTCTAAATAAAGTGATAGTGATCTCAAGGGGAACGAAGTAAGAGTATGGCAACTAGTGGAGATGGACCTACATCAGTTAATCTTAGCCTGTTAATAGTTAGCCATTTAATCTAAGCTCCTTTTATAAACAAGGGCAAGGAACAAGAGCACCCAGAGGAAGAGCCACCCTGTAGTAATACAGACATAGACGATGGATGGAATCATCTGCCCTCTGGACCTTCAAATTCTGAGAACTCTGCTGAGGACAAAGAGGATAAATTTTCAATAGAGTTATTTTATAAATTGCAATCATGCCCTCCTTCCCACCTTTAGAGCTGGTTATCTTTGTTTTCTGTGACTTTGCTCAATGAAGTTATGACAAACTCACATAAGGGGAGTACTACAATGATCCTGAATGAATATTTTAAAATGTTGTGATCCCTGCTGTAAAACAGTAGTGCTCTGCTAGTCCACCTACATTTGCCTTTTACATATATTTATTTACATCCATTCCAGAAAGGCATCTGACTTTGTTTAAATACCTCAATAAATTAAAGTTTCATTTTTTTGCTCTGTAATTTGTTGAAGTAGTTATTCAGAATCTTTGACAGAGATATGCACTTTATTTGTTGTTTCTTTTTAACAACTTCAAATGTTAGTCAGTGTTAAATCTAGGGATTATGAAACTTTACTTGGCATTCTTCTTGCAGAGGAAACAAAGCTTTTTGAGTTTCTTTGTAGATTCAAGAAATTGAATGTTTAATAACCTAAATACAGAACAATTTTTCCAGCTGTTAAATCATGTTCTAAATATTTTAAAAAATATCTTCAGTCACTTTTTTTTTTTAGAGAATGGAGAAGAGATCTATGGCTTACTGAAATAGCGGTGGTTTCCCACAAAGACAAAGCAGACTAGTACAGAAAACCTAAGGTAGAATTACCTTCCACTTTTCTTGCAGCCAGGGCTCTGGATCAATTTTCTCCCCAGCAGGCCATAGGCAGTCAGCTCTGGTGGACAGAGAGGGGTTCGTTCACACTGGCCATGAGGAGTGACAGGTTCCATCTCTGCAGGTGGCCAGCACAGAGTAGCCTAGACATGTAATAGATCATAACTTTAGGAATCCAGGTATTTAGGAGATAGAATCATAGAATCATTAAGGTTGGAAAAGACCTCTAAGATCATCGAGTCCAACCGTCACCCCACCATGCCCACTAAACCATGTCCCTAAGTGCCTCATCTACTCGTCTTTTAAATACCTCCAGGGATGGGGACTCCACCACTTCCCTGGGCAGCCTGTTCCAATCTTTAACC